TACAGAAAATAAATATGTAGATTCCATTTATATAAAAATCGATGTGTGTATGTATATGTTCCTTGTGAACTCCAAGACGGCTGACCGATGATGAAATTTTTCAGGCAACTTTCAGATTAGCCCGGCATTTTAGGGCTCCCTACCCAAAGGGTATAACGAAGACTTCGCTGTCTGTCTGTCTGTCCGTCTGTCACCAGGCCGGTTTTAATTAGACAAATTACATTCTTATTAGACATAGCATTTTGGATCAAAAGAGCCGTGATAGCAGTGTGCGGGCGCTAGCTTTTAATTCCGTTATAGCAACTACTCGAGCAACCCGATTTCAAATCCCGGTGCCAGCACAAATGTAATTGGTAATTTTAAGTGGTGATTTATCACGTTCACATTAGTGAAGGGAAACGATGTAAGGAAACATTTTCGAACGAATTTAAAAAAAACATATTACGAAGATATTGATGAGCATGTGGTATTCGTGTGATTTTAATACATCACAGTCTATCGTCGTTTTAGGACTAGAGAAACATTAATCTTTCGCAAAACGCTTTAATCGTGCCTCACGTGCGTACATTATTTTCGTATTCGGAAATCGGACAACGCAACTGATAACATCGCTATCACTTCTTAATTACGTACTACGAGTCCATAGATAAACACGAACGCGTATAAGCAAAGGCATCGGCTTAGTTCTTTGTCCGGCAGGTTATAAAGTTGCGAGCAGAAAAACAAATTTGCATTTTAATATTAAAATAAACAAAAAACTTTTCCAGCAAAATGATTTACATCAAATAACTGTGTGACGCGTAAACGCTTGCCATTTAACGAAGATGTTTACTGTTTCCTTTTTGGATGATACGCGTTTATCAGGAACATTACTGCCATTGTGTGATGATCTATTACAAGTGTTAGTTTTACAGATTCCAAATTCACGAAACATTCGACGGTACGAGCCGCAGATTGAATAAATTAACTCAATGTAAAATGTTGGCGCTTTTAGCGTCGACCACGTACATTATGATATCAATTTTTAGGGCTCCGTACCCAAAGGGTAAAACGGGTCCCTATTAATAAGACTTCGCTGTCTGTCTGTCTGTCACAAGGCTGTATCTCAAGAACCGTGATAGTTAGAGATTTGAAATTTTCACAGATGATGTATTTCTTACGTTGCGGCTATAACAACTAAAAGACAGAATTAAAAAATATTTAATTGGGGCTCCCATACAACATACATGATTTTTTTTGCCGTTTTTATACATAATGGTACGGAACCCTTGTGCGCGAGTCCGCCTCGCACTTGTATTTCTTTATTGTTCAATGTGATTTTGAACAAGTGCTCTTTACCGGGTCGTATTTAGAACGATGTTGCACTTTCTTATGTTTAATATAAATATATTAAAGGCCTGTTTGAGACTGGGCCAAGAGTTGCGAAATCGTTATGTTACAAGACGTGGATCATTTATTAATACATGGTAGTGTCAAGGCAAGTTATTTAACAAAAGAACGAAATCGATTTCATATCTCAATCCCGTTACATTTCTTATTCGATTATGAGGAGTTTCCTGATGTTCTCAATCCGAGGTTAAATGCCATTTAAATTAAAATGGGAACTCCTTGAAAATATCGCCTTTCCTACACAAAAAGAATTTTCCCAAATTTCTTCGTTCTTTAAGTGACGGAGTTCTGAAGTGACAATCAAAAAATGAGCTAATTGACGGCCTCCTCATTTTTGAAGTCTGTTAAAAATCATGAAAAGTTTAAATAAGTTTACAAACTTAATTTTTCGTTGTAAAACATATTTAGATACGTTAAGAAATTTAATTTTTTCTTACTAATACAAAGATGGGAGGGCGGCTATCGAGAAATAATAAGTTACATTGATATTAAAAAAAAAATATTTAAAATATAACATTGATCTAAAAGATCACATTGAAAAAAAAAGCCCACACATTTCGTGGTTGCTGAAGAACCATGAAATGAAAAAATTGTAAAATTAAACTAAAAACAGCTCTGTTATGTTACGACGGGAAGGGATCCCGTTTATGAGATTGACCGCTAATAATAACACATTTAATGAATACTTCATCGGGTGACAGAATTAGGGGGGGCCTCTTTACCGTGTGCATATTTAACGTGTTCCAAGACGCCGTTTGCTGCTACACTATGGCGTATTACGAGGCACGGGATGCGGTGGCAGGGGGTCAGGTCAATTGACGTCGGGCCACATCCGGCAACGCTCGGTACCTACGCACGTGCTCGCAACTAATTATCACCGAACACCTTCGTGTTATCGAAACGAATTACGCGTTTAAATAAATAATAAATATTTTGGGACATATTTTAACACAACGTTCTCTAGTCCCAAACTAAGCAAACCTTGTACTATGGGTATTAGATAACCATTAAACTTTTTTTCTGTAAATAAATACAAGTTCATCACACAATATTTTTCCAGCAGTGGGGATCGAAACTACACCCTCTGGGGCAGGAGGCAGGTACACTACCCACTACGCCATTCGGGTCGTCGATCATGAAAACATCAATTTAGTCGCCGAATTCTGGTAGATTTTATACACCTGAGTGATTCGCATAATCATTTCATGTGTTTACGCGCTTACCACACAATGATAAATTATTTTAAAACTAACTTACGCGTCAGTCCTTGTCAATCACGTCTGCCTCGTGGATTTTACATTATTCGAAACGTCGGAAATTTAAACTATAATTACTTTTATTTAATATTAAGAACAACACCCGAGTGGAAATAGGCATTGGCTGTCTAGGCACTAAAATGTTAGACGATGAAATAGCTATTAAATTGAACATCTACATCATTCAAATGTTCCATTCGATTACATTTCGAAAATTCTTTAAAAATGTATTAAGTGTATCGCCCAATAATTGAATCACCGCAGGTCCGACGCCAAATATGGCCGACTCGGTTCGCCTGACAACTTGAAATTATTCGCGCGATTTTCATATTTGACTGAATACGCGACCGAAATAAAATTGTCTTAATGTTACAGGTCGAAATCAGGTCGAAGTTTGAAATTAATCATTTTCATTGAAATCATTTTTGAAGAAGGACAGGAAGAAGCGTGGTTAATCCGCCAAAATGCACGATTCAAGCAATTTACAAACATATTATCGTCACGTGCTTATGTCGAACACGAGCGATAAACGTTACATCGCCGCTAAACAATTACGTAAACATTGTCTTGTTAGTGAAAGTATAATCGGCAATAGAAGTAAACGTAACAATTTGTTTATCACATCTAATTTATACGCAATATACATTACAAAAGTTCTTTCATAATCTAATCTACACTGCAAAATTTGATATTATTAATACCGTAACGTTATATACAACTCTCTACGTTATATTATATCGCACTTTAATATTACCGGCTCTTCTCTGATAAAATCGCAAGGACAATATTGATTTCGTTTAATGCTACACAGCTATAGTCTATATCGACACGAACGCTCCGTCACGACTACCAAGTATTCAAAGCAATAATAACAAATTTTGAAACTTGTCAGTAAACTTTGCTCTTTATTCAGAGTGAGGCTAATAAGAATTTCATATCAATCTGTCCCCAAAACTGGGCGACGCGCGAGATTTTAAAGCTTAGTACCCGCGCTAAGCATTTAACGCTTCGTATCGCTTTAGGAAATCCCGCCGTGGAACTCAAAGTGTATTTAAAAGAGATAATCTACTGCTTAACAAGGTACGTACAAACGGATTGGAATAAACAGCTACGTACACACTGGTGGGCCATTGTGATCGCGTAATAGTTGCAACACGTGCGACACGTGTACAGTACGCAATGAGGAAGTTTATCCGATTGCAACTTCCTCACAGTCCTAACATTCGTTACCGATTTACATTAATCATTGGATCGCTAAGCATATTTAGTTATGGCGATTCGATGGACTAAAGCCACATTAATTTTAGAAGAATGTCCCTTAAACACGAAAGGCTCCTTATAATGGCTCAATTAAATTGTAACTAAACTGTAACTTAAGAAAATCAAAATCTTATATGGTTGTTATAAACTTTCTTTTAACAATATGATGCCTCTTTCATAATTAGAAAAATCAACTGAATATCTATCGCTAATAGCTGACTATTCGCGTAACGAAATCAAAATCAAATACCTACTGCCGATGCGTTTGACAAACTTTGGTATGGTGAACACCGCGACAGTGACGTAAAAGCCAATTATGCATATTATAGAGTAGTATTAAGTAGTTAGCTAAAATTTATCTCAATCTATGCGGGTAAACGGTCAGTTAAGTAACAAGTTGTAAGTTAAAATATGTATAGTGCACAAGTAAACAAGTAAAATAGAATGTGTTCTATTTTTCTGTTGAGTAGTTATGCGAAGTTTCGCTTGAAAAGTTTTGACGTAAAGCATTTAGTAAAAATTTTCTTAACGCATCGAATAGTCGATGTGTGAGGGGATTTTTTTTTGTGTAGATTTTCTCTTAGATCTTCCTCAGACATTTCTTCCCTCTTAATTATTAAAATCTATCTAAATACGAAGTTCACTGCGGATTAAATCAATTCGAAAGCTATTATTGGACGTCCATCTTAGACAAACTAAAGGCTATGGCTAAATTTTAGTGTTGCTTTTTGTTGAAAGTTGCTTTCAATTGAGTCTCATAATTTAGTTATTTTATACCAGTAAAATTTTGTTAACTACTTAAATACATATAAATCGGCCATAATTATGCATAGATGCATCTGAAACATCTAGACAGGGCAAGAGTTTAATGAAGCGAATCATTAGTGCAGGACCAATTTATGAGGTGACTCAGGTAAAATGTACATCACATTTTGTTAACTAGTATTTAATACTTGTAATTCGAACATTGGTTGCATCTGAACCATCTAGGTGCGGGCGAGTTTAATGAGGCGAGTGGTCAGTCCCCGACCACCAGTTTATGAGATGACTGAGGTAATGAATTAAAAAAAAATATAAAGATGCAAAGTAGCTCACACAGCTCACATGCACGCTGCTGTGCAGGTTGCTACTAATCGCTGGCAGGTCTGGCTTGCGTTCCGTCTTTTTCGCCTGCCTCTTCGCCTTGCCCTCGAGGAACCGCTTCTGCAGAGCGCTGGTCTCCAAGTTCTGCTGTTCGCACGCGCCGCTAAACGACTGGTCGAAACGCGGCACGCACTCAGATTGCCGACGCCTGTACGTCTCTATTCTTCGGCTGTGGACAAAAAGAATATTTATAATTCTTGTTAATTAATTAAGCGGTGTAGATAGAGATCCCCCCCACTAGATAAGAGTGACGAACTGTGCAAATTTGCGTGTATCCTGTATTAACTGGTATTAACACGTAAACTTATCGTCTTTTTAAACATGCTGTAACTACCTTTGAATGGAAATATGTAAATCTTAGTTCCTAAGCCTATTGTCACATTTTTTTTCACAACAACATGTTATTCCGTTGGTGGTTCTATCAGTAAATAGATAAATAACGCTTACAGCCCCGGGATTATTAAAGCATCATCGAACGCAGAACCGGTGGGCTACCCAGAAATCACAGGTTCGAGGCCCTCCACAGTGGCTAGGGCCACGCATGTATGTGCTCATGCGTGCGTTAGCTAAGAAATTTGCGGGAAGTCTATGTATGCAGGTGGCTCGGGTCCATGCTTCGTGGCAGTCTAAGGGGGTCTACTACCTATGCTCAGCAGTGGACTCATACGGCATGTTATGAAATGATGATGAGATAATTTTTATGATTCTTATGCAAAGAATTCGACTTGGATCACCACAAAAAAAAAACAATCAGAAAACGGAGTAATTCTCATCTAGATTGCGTAGCATAAGTAAATCTTCTATGGGGCAATGCATACGTTTTTACAACAAAATACCCGATAACGTTCAAAATGAATCGGTTGCTAAATTCAAAAAACCTGTAAAGGAATGTGTGTTAAAGGCTATTATAATAATATTAGTGATTATTTTTATGATAATACACTGGAAATAATTGATCGCTCCAGGCTCTTTCAAGCTAAATTAATATGTTGAAAACAAGTTTATTATCTTTTTTTTCAAATATGTTAAAAAAAAATCTAAAGCTGAGTTTCATTCGCCGGTTTTTCTCAGGTCAGTGACTTTTTTCCCGAACCGGTAGTAGTATTTTTGACAATTAATAAGTAAGTGTAATACAAATTAAAATTCTATACCGAATAAAGATATTTAAATTTGAATTCGTTAAATGCTAACTTTGTTTCCCTTCTCTTAAAATTCAAAATTAAAATTCCTTAGTACTTTTTTTTAACTATTACAAAAGTCGATAGTTTACATTAGCATTATTCTACAAAAATAATTTCTCAACACCCTATCTGCAATAATTATACTTATTCAATTTTGTTTTGTCTCGTTTTTATTATCAAAACACAATAATAACAACATTAATTATACCTATATAAGTATTGTTCTGTATATGACAAGTTTATAGGCAAAGAAGCATAAAAGGTTCTCTAATAAATGTTAATCTACATCAAAATATTAATATAACAGGAAAAGATTTATCAATCCTCTAGTACAGTAAGTGCACAGAAACATCGATTTTATACTATATCAGTTACACTTTGATGGCAGTGAGCTTCGGGCCACCGCATACAAGGCCGGAACTCTTGACTCAAACATAGGACTGGTTTGCATCCGCCGAAATTGTTAGCATGATTTTGTCTACGAGTCACTAAAATATACATGTTATGAAACAAATAGCATCTTTTCATTTAATTTTTTGACTGACATTGTCCTTACATTGACGAAAACAGAACGTCTTACGTATCACGAGTCTGTCATAAAACGATTAAGCGTTTGTTAGTAAAAAAAACGTACACAAAAAATTTCCTAGTCTCTAACACAATACATTTTAAAGATTTATAATGATTATTGTTTAAATTACTACGCATATCCAATTCTTTATAATGATACTACGTCATGTTTGGCCTCCGATTTCAAAAGGCGAACAAATTTCGCCTATTTCAAATCAAGTTACGGTGCCCGAGTGTTGTTGCTAAGGGAACTATTTAGTATAATGTGTTAGCAAAGTGTTCCGCCTCTTGTAGAAATGGGCTGGCTATAGAAATACCGCAGCGTCAAAGAAGACCGATGTAAAATGTTAGTATCTTTACTTTTGCATTTCGCTAATTTTAACAACGCTAAGTTGTTCGTCTTCACCATACATAAAGTACATAGTATAAAACAAAGTCATCCGCCGTCTGCTTGTCCCTATGTATGCTTAGATCCCGCTGTCTGTCTGTTCCTATGTATGCTTAGATCTTTAAAACTATGCAAAGGATCCTGATGCGGATTTTTTTCCTAGATAAAGTGATTCAAGAGGAAGGTTTATATGTGTAATTACTTAATACATTGCACCCGTGCGAAGCTGGGGCGGGTCGCTAGTCAACTATATGCTGTCAATCACTGAACACGAAGTGGCAATAAACAATCTCAACCGACTCTACAATCTCGCATTAAATAACGTACGAAATGTATATTCCATAAATGCGGCACGCCACGTAATGCGTAAGGCTCGCCGATCACACTTGACAACGGATGTACAGCCGTCGGCGCGAAACCAGGCGAGGCACACGTTAGGTGCAACACGCAATATCTCGGCCGATCGGATGCTCAGTCAGCCGCGACCCGAGCGGTCACCTTGGCCGAATGTTAATGCGGACTTTTCGTCTACTGCCGTCCGCACAAAAAAAAGTCATCACCCGCCGAGTTTCCATTTGGCCGAAACGATACAAACGCTCAAGGCTATTGTCAATGGAACGAAATCATTTACATCTTTCGCGGCACACGATCGATTTTTCTTGTTGTTTTCCCACTTGTAAGCTAGTACGTTTTTAACGATGCTAAAAATGTTGCCAGGCCGAAATGGTATTCATGAAAATGCGATTTAAATTAGGTACTTCACATAATTTTAACGTATTTCTACTCCTTAGAACTACAATAAAAATTTGATAACACAAACTTGTTAAATATTTATATCAATATAAATAATATCAAGTTACCGTACAAAGAACAATTTTTGATCATATAAATTTTTCGTTTTCGTCAAAATTTGTAAAAAATATAAAAAATAAGCGATTTTTTTTTCAACAATCATTCTTTCACCACCCGACTTCGGCGGATGGTTATGTTTGACCGGTATTTATGTATATAAGTTCATCTATTCGCGCATATGTTCTGAACTACCTACTCATCATAATTTGTGAAATTTGGTATCGTTCATAAAATCTTGGTCGTCCGCTGGTTATGGCTATATGGCTTAATATTTATATGCACCCTCTAGTATTAATAAAGTCATGAACTAAAAATAAACCACGGAAGTTTTAGGACTTAATGTTTATTTTATTAAATGCAAAGGATGTTTGAGAATACAAAAAGGTCATTCAACAAGGGTTTAATATATTGTATTCGAAATACGATGTTACGACCATTAGCAAAAATTCTCTAATAGCCGCACCGTGTATACCAATTGGAAATAAAAAAAATGTCAGTAAACTCATTTATATACTCCTTAAGGCATATTAAAAGAAAACTCCTAAAAATATTTAATGTTCAACTACGCAATTGGACGAATAATAATTCGCTGGTGTTAATTGGAGTCTCCGATTTAGACTTTAAGGCTAACTTTCAACTGCTGTGCGCACAGTTATTAGTGTGTAATATACATATGTTTGTATAACGTATATGAATCAAAAGCCAGGGTAGTGCACAATCGTTTCATAAGCGAATTGCAAACACAATGAAGAAATATATTGAATAAATTAGACATGACAACCAATTGCACAAGATACTATAATAGTAGCTCATTGGCGTGCCAGTTTAGATACTTTCGTCATACAAGAACTTTTTTTAAAATGCCATCGCAGGCGACCGTATGAATTTAACTATAGGCAAAAGTATACTCAATAGACCAGGTTGCTCTGATAATTTGAAACCTTGTTTACAATAACCGTTCGGCTAGAAGGCGATACAATGTACTGCAGATAGGCTGACCACTGGCAAAACATTCAGGTATGCACAGAAACACTTGGCCCTTGATGCGCAAGGCACAAGGAGCTATGGTTATATTTTTTTTACAAAATTAATGCTTCGATACATTTAACGCTATCAAGTTTTCTCACGTATGGAAAAAAATTCAAAGACAGACTTAGCTATTTCAGGCATAAAAAAATCGATATTGTATATTTGAATATTTTCTTGCATAACAAGTATAAATAATGAGCGATAACGTCAGACAGTGGCCTGACAACAATGTGCAATATTGAGCAGAAAAGACCTTTCTAAGATAAAAGATGCACGAGGTACGGATAGGGGGTAGAAGACTACCTTTTTTCCAAAGGAGCACCATTCTTTTAGCGCAAATAAAAAGTGCGACTGTCAACTAATCGTCGATGTGGTACGAGTAGATCAACCGTCAACCTCAATAACAACAATATCTATGCCCTCTATATTCACTGGTAAAGTTTATTTCAATTTATGAAACACTGTTATTGTAGACAACCTACTCAAAGCATTAATATTTACTAAATACTATTTGAAAATAAAAAAAAATTGCTCAATCTCACGTTTGGCTAAGATGGGGGATAATCGTTAAAAATTAAATGTGCAATAAAAATATAACAAGATTTCACCTAAAAATTTCGCACAAAAATTTTCATGAATCAATCTTTTATATTTTTTCCATAATACACAATTACACACCAGTGCAAGGAGTTCTAACTGGAACATTTACATAAGTACATCTCCGGTCGAGGTGAAGTCTAAGCTTGGTTTCTGAATACTTCTTTGCATTCGTCATAGCGCACTTGAAGAAATCAAAACATATTTCTTTTAACAATAAGCTTCATATGCATATACAAGTGGTTAGCGATCAACGTCCACAATCATAACAATTCTTTGTCGATTATACGTATACCGATTGGAACTTGAACCTACGATCAGTGCCAACGAAATATCTTATTTCTGCTCCAACTATGCTTCAAAAGTGTACTGTGAATAAAATATGACCTACACAAGCACTGTGTTAAAATATCGAAATGACACATATGTTTGTAAGTAGAGAGTGTATTGTTTTTAAATGTTTAATCTTAGTAAGTGAAGCATTGAAAAAACAAGAGCTCATGTTCCTATTAGCGTATTATATGATTGCATTTAATAAAAACCTATATGTAA